TATGCCAGCTGGGTGCTCTGCCACCGAGGTGGATGCCCAGCAAAGAACTAACAGGTGCTGGTGTTGAGTGGTTCTCAAGAGAGCCCGAGCAGAGGTCCCAGTGGCCAGTGTCGCACCCTAGAGTGCTGGTGGTTCCATAGGGAAGTAGGTGATGTGTCCTGTCTGTCTTCAGCATGGCTGACTACCAGATTATGATTGTTTTTTCATATTTTCTTCCTGCTTTTTCTCTGTATTTCTCTATTGTCAGGTTCTTGGGCCAGTTCTATAGATTGGTATTTCTGTAACTGTCTTAGAATCAGAATTCATTCATTATTGAGAGATGGTTCTCAGAGACTGACTGACTGTGGATAATCAGTGGGTTCTTGTGTTTTTTGTTGTAGTTGTTTTGTTTTGCTTTTAGCTGTGTGTGCATGTAAGACAGGTCAAGTGATCCTCTCACCTCTGCCTCCTCGGTAATTGGGCCTAAGGTGTGTACCATGCCCTGTTCTCTGTTTGGTCTCATTCACTCTTTATAAATCATAATGCCTTTGAATTTTAATGGGACCTGTTACAGCAGCATTTAGGGACTTCTGTCGTGGTAGAAGACTGCCTTTTAAATGTAGACAGGACAGGGTGTGGCTCAGTAGGAGAGTGCTTGCAAGCACCACAAAACAAATAATTTCAGAAGTACAGACAGTTAAAGATCGATGTGTTCTTGATTTGGTGTGTGTGCTGTGGGTTTTGTTTCTTTAGTCCCCCTCACTTGCTGGCCAGGGTGTGATCTTACCACCTGAAGATCCGTGTCTGTAGGCCATTTTCTTTGATGAAGAGAATTTAGCATTGTGGTCAAAGTTGCCTCCTTTATAGTGACACAACAAAACTTTTAAAAATAATTTAATTTGCTTAATACTTGCTATGCTTAAAAAGAAATAGGGAACCTGGATTTGGTTTGTTAGTATTTTTTAAAGCTGAGTTTTGTAGAGAGCGCACATTACCAGACATTGTGCTGCCGCCCCTTTTCAGAAGCCATCTCAGATTGTTACTTAATCCTGGAATGCTGTTCCTCACGTATGCAGCCATGGATAGGAGGTTGAGAATTGAGTGTGTGTGTGTTTGCGGGGGGGAGTATTTGGTGTGTGTGAGATTTGGGGGTGTGTGGGGGTGTGTTTGGTGTGTAGTGGGGCGTGTGGTGTATGTGTGAGGTTTGGGGGTGTGTAGTGGTTGTAGTGTGTATTTGGTTTGGGGAGGTTGGGTTTGGTGTAGGGTGTGTTGCATTTGGTGTGGGGTTTGTGTGTATGATGTGTGCATATTTAGTGTTTGGTGTGGTGTGGGGTTATGTGGTGTGAGGCTGTGTGGTGTGTGTTTGGTGTGTGGGGTATGTGTGTGGAGGGGTGTGTGATGTGTGCATTTGGTTCTCTGGTGGGTGTGCTGTGTGTGCAGTGTGTGGGTGGATGTTTGATGTGTGTGCTATCTGGTGGGGGGTGGGGGGTGTGATGGTGTATATGGTGTCGGGGCTGTGGGATGTGTATGTGGTGTGGTGTGGTATACTGTGTGATGGGTATGTGGTTTGTGTGGTGTACTGTGTGGTGGGTATGTGGTGTGGGGGTGTGGGATGTGTATGTGGTGTGATGTGTGGTGGATATGGGGCTGTGGGATGTGTATGTGGTGTGGTGTGTGATGTACTGTGTGGTGGGTATGGGGCGTGGGGGTGTGGGATGTGTACGTGTGGTGTGGTGTGTAATGGGTATGTGGTGTGGTGTACTATGTGGTGTGGGGGTGTGGAATGTGGGGGTGTGGAATGTGTGTGTGGTGTATTGTGTGGTGGGTATGTGGTGTGGGGGTGTGGGATGTGTGTGTGGTGGGTATGTGGTGTGGGGGTGTGGGATGTGTGTGTGGTGGGTATGTGGTGTGGGGGTGTGGGATGTGTGTGTACTGTGTGGTGGGTATGTGGTGTGGGGGTGTGGGATGTGTGTGTGGTGTACTGTGTGGTGGGTATGTGGTGTGGGGGTGTGGGATGTATGTGTGGTGTACTGTGTGGTGGGTATGTGGTGTGGGGGTGTGTGATGTGTGGGATGTGTGTGGTGTACTGTGTGGTGGGTATGTGGTGTGGGGGTGTGGGATGTGTGTGGTGTACTGTGTTGTGGGTATGTGGCGTGGGGGTGTGGGATGTGTGTGTGGTGTGGTGTGTGGTATACTGTGTGGTGGGTATGGGGCGTGGGCTGTGTGTGGTGTACCATATAGTGTGGAGGGGTGTGGTGTTGGTCGCCTTCCTGCCGCCCCTCTGAATGGGTCAGTGTGAGGCTGCGGGGCTGCAGTGGCTCTCCATGGCTTCTGAGGTGTGCTGCTCCCAATCTTGGCTGGTTGCTATGGAAAGCACAGAAGGACACAGGCAGGCCTGTGAAGTCTGGCTGAAGAGGAAGCAGAGTTTGCTCCTCCAGGCAGCTCCAGCACTGAGCTCCTAGGCCAGTGGTGGCTGTGAACCTACGAGCTCTGCAAGGCTCGCCACCACAGGGGCCTTCTAAACCTTGATTGACACCTTTTTAGAGCAGTCCTTAAGCACTACAATCCCCCACCTCCTAGGGTTCTTTTAGAAAGGCTGATGATCCTGTCTTCAATGTGACTTAAGGAAAAGTTCCATCTTGGGCCCTGAATCCTGATTTCCCAGGTGAAGAGTGGAGGTCGGAAGCTAGTGCTGGTTCTGTGCAGTAAACCCACCGCCCCGCCTGGCCCCACCCCTGCGTACCTGAAGAGGAGTTGGTCCTGTTCTGGGCAGCAGCACACTAGCAGCTGCTGTGTCAGGAACCCTCTCCTCTGTCCTGGCGGGGACGGGGGAGGGACAGGCCCCGGTACTGACCCTAGCCTGCCTGCCTGCTAGAAGGCCTGTTGCCCGCCCTCATGGTTGCTGCCTAACAAATGGTGTTTCTTTTTTGCAGCGTTATGACCCTGGACTTGTTGTGGTGATGGTAAACTTAGCAGTGGTAATTTTTTATTTTCAGACTGAATTCCTCTTTTGTCATCAGTGCACCAATATGTTAGGCTTCCTTTCTCTGTTGTAGCCTTCATCCTTCTGCTTGGTCTATTTCATTTTCCTTTCCTTTCCTTCTGCACCTTGTCTGACCCTTGTTCATTGAAGGGTACTGTTAAGAAGGGATGTATCTGTTTGTGTTAGAAACTGCCAAAGAAATCAGTTAAAACTTTAAATCCTAATATTGTCAAAAACTTGATTTCCCCAATGTAATGGGCGCTAGCACTTGCTACTGCAATTTATAAGTAAATTTTTAAAACTTTGACTGCCTTAGAAGGCAAAAGTACTAATGCAGTTTATAACAGGGGTTTACAGAGGTAAAGAACTTGTGCCAAAACCTTCTTCTTATAGAACAAATTCTCACAGAACAAAAATAATACCAAAAAGAAAGTAAATTGGACATTTCTTTTCAATTCCTTCATTGGACCTTTTGTTTTTACCAGTAAACCCCTGACTGAGACGTTATGAAAGTGATACTGCACCTAGGAAGTCATTTTTACAACCTGTGTTTGATTTGGTCCTTTTGCTAAAGATTGCAGTCACTGAGGATTCATTATACCATTGGGCGTAAGGCAGCTCACAGTCTTGCCTGCTGGGCAGCCTCTGGTAGGGCCCAGAGAGGGCTGAGCTCAGGAGCCCCTCCATTTCTTTATTTAAACAGATTTTTAAATTATGCTAACATTCCTCATTATCTGTTTAAAAGCAATGTGATACTGGTGATAAGTAGACAAACTTCTGAATTTGTTTTTCATTGTGTTTTAAAGACAAAATTAATCCTGCAAATACAGAGCAACTGGGTGCAAAGGTTGCTGGCCATTTTGAAAAAGTTTCTTCTGTTTTCTGCAGGACACAAACCAGTCATGATCTTGACTTTGGGGGTGGGGTACCTGAGATTCAGCCTGATGAAACTCAGTTTTTAGCCCAAAGGTATAATATTTGTGTGTATAACGACAAAACCAATTGCTCACGCCAGCCTAAGTGAGTGAGGGAAGTAAACCCTGTGTTTTCCCATGAAAGGCGCACGGCGGCAAGGTAAGTCCCTGCTCAGTGGGCTTACATCACAATACCCCTCGCAAGTTGTGATGTAAAACAGCTGTGGTAGTAAAGTGCTTGTCTGCCCCATTTTGCTTTGTTTGGCTGGTTATGAGTGGATTAAATATATATTTATTTAAAAATTTTCCAGCATAGATCAATTAGTTTAAAGTCAATTTTCTTCGCAACTAGTCCTTTTCACAGCTTACCTCACCACAGCCAGTGCTACGTGCACTCGTAAATGGGACCTGGAGCACCAGATTAAAAGTAAAGCTGCTTTGTCCCAAAGGACAGCTGCCACTTTTTACTTACCTTCAGAAGCCATCCGCCGGGGGTGTGGTAGCGGCGCATGCCTAAGGACTAGCGTAAGTGAAGCAGGAGGATCACTTTGAGTTCCAAGGCCAGCCTGGGCTACATAGTGAGTTCAAGGTCAGCCTAAACTTTGTAGTGAGACCCTGTCTCAAAAAAAACAAGAGAAAAAAAAAAGACAACAAAAAGTTAAACCTGCTGATGTGTGTGTAATTCCAGAGTTTTACTGTTTAACGTTTGGCAGTGAGTTTTCCATCTAAGCCTGTCAGCTGAGGGGTTTCAGAGTGCAGGGAGGATGTCGGCGGATGGGATGTAGTAGATTGATTCTTGAGAAATTACTCAGGAATTGTTTAAAAAGAAACTTTTGAAGTTTTCAACAGAAGCCTCCTGGTGCCACTGCTCAGCACCACCTGCGTCACTAACCCACTGAGCTGCCTTTAAGACCTGGTTGGTCCCGAGCGAGGACCCTCGTCACATTGTCACTGGTGAGCCAGAATGAAGGGGCTGTGTGTAAGCTGTGAGAATGGCTGTGTTTGGTTCACTGTAGCTTTCTGGTCTCTGCACTCCAAGGCAAGATCTCTAACCACCCAGCCTAATGTGTACCATGAGTGTTGGCTCGGCTGCATCTGACCCTGGCCATGTGTTCCTGTTACAGGGAGAACTGATCCAATCCCCATCGTTGTCAAGTATGACGTCATGGGCATGGGCCGCATGGAGATGGAGGTAAGCTGGTCTCCTTGGTTTACGGACTGTCTGGGGTTGGCGTTAGATCGGAATTCAGAAAACACTGACCAGGTGGAGTATAGTTTCCACACTTTCCTTTGCACAGTTAAAAAATGTTTTACGTTCTCAAGTAGTGCTATGTTTGAGGCCCCTAGGGTGTGCACGGTGGCTCTGTTGGCACTGGGGTGTAAAGAAGTTGAGTGGCATGCCCATGGGTAGGTGACACTGCCAAGCCACATCTTGACGTGGCTGACACAGCAGTGGTACTGCTCCAGTCTTGGGACAGGAGCCGTACCGGAAGCTGTCTGCAACACCGGCTGTCAGCTGTCCTGTGTCTTCTCCATTTTCCCTCACTCACTTCCTGTGAGCATAGAACTGAGGTCTTATCAGAAGGGAGCCTCCAGCACTGCAGGGTTAACAACCTTTCTGCCTGCTCTTTTCCCTGGGCGACAGCACTCCAGTGAGGAAGGCCTGAACAATACACACACCAGCAGCACTAGCTGTGCTGATGACTTCTTCATATTTAATCTTGTGGTTTCTTAGCAAGGGAAGCTAACTTACCTGTCTTTATCAAGCTCGATTATGCCGAAGATGCTACCGAACGGCGCCGTGTCCTAGAGGTGGAAAAGGAAGATACAGAAGAGCTGAGGCAGAAGTACAAGGTGCGCAAACACCCTTCCCTTGAGGGCACAAGCGCCTTCACACCCTGACCCTTTCCACCAGCGGTGAGGTGCAGTACAGCAGGTTTCCTTTCTGCTTTTTCCCTGTTCACTGCTGTGGTCAAACCTACAGACCTGATGCCTCCTGAATTGTCTGTTAGGAAGATGCTGCAAGTACTGTTTGAAACCGCACTGCCCAGTGCACAGGTGGTCAAATGGTAGCAGCAGTTGCAGTTGTTACTGAGGGGCTTGGTGGAGCCCAGCAATGCAGCCCTTGTCTAGCAGGCTCAGGGCCTGGGACTCAGTCCCCAGCACCCACCCAGCCCCACCCCAGAAAAAGCTACAAGTCTGTGAGAGCTTGAGGACAGTTTCCACAGCTTCAATTACCTTTGCTTTCAAAGTGGGTGGGGTGTTTTAAGAATAACATTTGAGGGTTTTTTTTTATTCATTGCTAATTGACAATTCGAAAGGAGAAATTTGTTCTGTAGAAGTATTGAGTTGAATTTTTTCTTTCAGTGTGCCTTTTTAAAAAGGGACTAATGCTGGGTGTGGTGGCGCAAAATCATAGTTCCAACACTCAGGGAAGCTCGGGCAAGAAGATCACTGAGACTTTGAGGCCAGCCTAGGCTACATAGTGAATTCTAGACCAGTATGAACTACTGTGAGACCTTGTCTCCAAAAAAAGGGGGGATTAATTATAAAAACTACAGTTTAACTGGGCATGGTGGTGCACACCTGTAATCCCAGTAGTAGAGAGGCTGAGATAGGATCACCAACTGAGTTCAAGGCCAGGTTGGACTACATAGGGATATCCTCTCTCAAAATAAGAAAACTACAATTTAGAAAATGTTAACTTTCTAGGCTAGGCGTGGTGGTGCACAACTCTAATCCCAGCGCTTGGGGGTCTGACACAGTAGGATCACCAAGAGTTCGAGGCCAGCCTGGCCTATATAGCGAGACCCTGTCTAAAATAAAATAAGGTAAAACAAAATAATTAAAGACTGACCAGGGAACTTACTCTCTAAAATATTACAGTGTACACAGTCTCTACCATAAACTTACAAGATAAGAAACAAGCTTAATTAAACTTATTGTGTACAGCCAGTTGTGATGGCACAGCATATAATCCCAGCACTCAGAAGGCTGAGGCAGAAGGATGAGTTCCAGGCCACATAGTGAGACCCTGTCTTAAAAAAAATAAAGGAGTCTGTTGTCAGTCTTGAAAAATCAGGGGGCTGGGGGTATAACTCAGCGGCACAGATGCCTGCTTGCCAAGCACAAGGTCCTGAGTTTGATCCCCAGTACAAAAAAAAAAAATAAAGAAAAATCAAAGAATCAACAATCTGTTACTTCTTTTTGTCATGAAGACATACTTAAATTGAGTATAAATTAAATTTTCTGTCCTTTAAGACTTAAAGGTGTTTACTGTTTTGAATTTTTAATACTCTCTGGATTCACTTTTTCTTGTTACTTTTTAAATTTTTATTAGTCCATGTTTGCAGTACCTAAAGATTACATTTTATCATTTAATAACCTTAATTAAGCTTGTTTCTTCTGAGTTTATGGTAGAGGTTGTGACACTGTAATATCTTGGTGCATGGACACAACTCATCTGAGTTCTTCACTTCCCCTTCTGTTTGCAAAAGGTCCATCTCCCTGTTTGCGGTGCTCTTTCCTTTTGCTCTTTGATTTATTTATACTTGGGTGTATCAGAGGAGAAACTGTGATCTTTAAGCCTGTGTGAGCAGTTGAGGATAACGCAGAGGGAATGCCAATCTGGAGCTGACTTTCCCTGTGTTAACATTGGAAAATAGTCCAAGTGGAGAAGGCAGTTTTGTTGCTCGTTGTTACCCCACAGGGAGTAAAGGAACTACAGGAAGTGGCAGCTGTGTGGTGCCGCTCATGTCTTCGTCGTGAATGGGCTGGATGGCCTTTTTTTCCTCTTGCACATTGTATGTTTGTGCCATCTGAGCCTCCTTGGAGCTTTTGGTAACTTTTTCTGCCTTTATATGCCAGACTGGAAAAGTACAGGACATGTGCTGTTGGAAAGCATAGCACCGCCTGTGGCTACTGACCATGGTGGCAGGCACTTACCATTCAGTGGTGTCCTGGTGGGGCTCTGTCAGCACCCGCTTTTCCTCACTGGTAAGCCAGGGCATTTGCAAATACTAGTTCGTGAGTTCGGTTCCCAGTACCGGAGGGAAAAAAAAAAATTTTTTTTTTTTTTAATGGCATGTATTGGTCTGGAAAGTTATATTTTCTACTGCAAAATTGAAAGGTGAATTTATTTTTTTAGTTCCTTTTCAAATAGCATCATTTTTAATAGCACATTAAATTTAAGTGACAAAGTATATGTGTTTGAAATCAAGAATTTTTTCTTTTGCCTGCTGGGGATCAAATGCAGGGCCTTATACATGCTAGACAGCTGCTCTGCTACTGAGCTACACCTTAGCCAAGAATTTTTTTTAGTTTTACAGCTGAAAATCCTTCACCCTTAAAAATATTTTGGCCAGTAATATACTAAAAACAATGAAAAATGCTGGATTAAAGCAAAAAACTTCTTTAAAGCATGGGAGAGTGAACAAGATGAGGAGGTGCAGTGTAATAGGCCAAAATTCCATACTTGGGATTCAAAATCCAGACTCACCGGGTAACCCAGAACCCTAAGTGGTGAATTGGGTGTAAGAGTGACCCCCAGACTCACGGTTTTCACTGCTTAATAGATACAGAGGGAGCTAGAAAAGAGAGGTTAAAAAATATGGGATATAAGATGAAAAGTCTGGACAAAGACTGGAATTCTTTGCCAGGTGTGGCGGTGCACACCTGTAATCTCAGCACTCAGGAGGCTGAGACAGGAGGATCCCCGTGAGTTTGAGGACACCCTAGGCTGCATAGTGAGCTCAAGGCCTGCCTAAACTACACAGTAGGACCTTGTCTCAAAAACAACCAACAACAACAAAAGGAATGGTGTCCACCTATTTGGGATGCTGAGGCATGAGGATTGAAAGTGTTCAAGGCCGGGGCTGGGGATTTAGCTCAGTGGCAAAAGCGCCTGCCTGGCAAGCGCAAGATCGTGAGTTCGGTTCCCAGTACCGGAGGAAAAAAAAAAAAAAAGAAAATGTTCAAGGCCAGCCTGGGCAATATATATTTAGCAAGGCTGTCTTTCAAAGTAAACTCTTTTATAGCACCAGACATACAGCTGTATAGTAGATGCTTCCCTGGAGTGCCTGGGTTTAACCTTCACTACAAAAAAAAAAGAACAGAAAAATATCAAAGTACAAATGTAAGAAGCCCAAACAATTCTAAGGTGAGTAAATGAAAAGAAACCCATATGTGAACATAGCCTTTGTGAAATTCTAAAATGCTAGCATCACAGAGACCTTAGAGTCCAGTGAACACACGATTTGGTCCCTAGGAACTGCAGATGGAAGGCTTCTCAGCAACCGCCTTTTGAAGTGGAGTATTGTAGGGTTGCATGTCCCCCAAATGCTGCCAGATAAGCACCTGGCAGCCCAAAGTTACATACCAGCTAGAATGTTTTTCAGATGTCAGGGAGAACAGAAGCATTTTCAGACAGGCAAGTGCTAAAGGTTGCCCTTCAGAAGGACAGTGACTTCTGGAAGGTGTTAGGACAAAAAATAAATGGATACGGAAAACAGTAAGTGCTTGGATAAAGTTAAAATAAGTGTTGTTTGAGAATTTCTCATGGGCTCAAAAACAAATTCACAAAAGCAATAACTTGAGATTGGAAGTAAGTAGGTGGAGTTTAGTGGGGAGTTTGGTTTTGGTTTTTGTAGTACTGGGATTGGACGCAGGGTATTCACACTGTAGCCCCCACTCCTTCCTGTTTTTTAGTTTAGATTTTTTATCTAGGAAGGGAGGGAGTCTCACTGATTTGCTGGAGCTGCACTTGAACCTGGTGATCTCCCTGCCTTGGTCCCCCAAATGCTGCAATCCCGGGTATACTCAGCTACCCCCAGTAGCTCCAAGAAGAGGTTAAAGGTATAAAATTAGGACTTCAGGAATACATGCAAGCACATAGTCACTACTAAAGGAGTAGTAATTGTACAAATTTCAAACTGATAGAGAAAAATTACTTTTTGTTTTTAATCCTTTTTTGTCTTTTGAGACAGGGTCTCACAATATAGTTCAGGCTGACCTTGAGCTCACTTTGTAGCCCAAGCTGGTCTCAAACTTGCAAGGATCCTCCTGCCTCAACCTCCCGAGTGCTGGGATTACAGGCGTGCACCAGCACACCTGGCTTGAGAAAAATTATTTTCTAAAGAAAGGAATTTGAGAAAAGGAAATGTGCTGTACCTGGGATAATTCATAGCATAGAATGATTTGGTAGATATTAACCCAAAGATACTAGTAATTAAAAATTCAGTATGAATTTTAACTTGGTGGTTCCCAAACTTATGTGCTTATCAGTCACCTGTTTTGTATTTTTCTTCATTTCAAAGCCTAGACTATATCTTTTTACTAGTTAATATCTGACAGTCTTCAGAAAATTAAATCTGTTAATATTGCTATGTTTTCAAATTTTTAAGGTGTTTGCTGTGTACAGGCAAATTTGGAAACCATTAGACTACATAAATACTCCAGTATAAAGACAAAGACTGTCAAACTGAATTTAAAAATAAAATCTACCTCCATGCTGTTTATCAGTAACATCCCTAAGGCATGGGGCTGCACAGTGCTCTACTATGAGAGAGGGAAGGTGCGGGCCACACAGCGCCAGCAGGGCCAACTGTGGCTGTTGTCATGGGGAACTGACTCCGAGGGGTGGAGTAGCACCAGGGCTCACAGCAGGGAGACAGCACAGCATCAGAATGCATGGGTCAAAAACAGCCAGCACTATGAGGAGAGGGCTGGGTACTGCCAGGGGGACAGAGGACCTGGGAAGAGATTCAACAGATCTTGCTGAAGGCTTGTGGGGAACTCTGGTTCAGGCACCTTATAATGTGACCAGACTGCCCTCTTGCCTTTACACTTTACTCAGCCGCCTTATTAAGGCCAACGTACACTGCTGATAAACGTGGTAGACCTTCTAAAATACTTAACTGTGTCAGGCGTGGTGGCGCGCACCTCTAATCCCAGCACTTGGGAGGCCAAGGCAGGAGGGTTGCTCTGAGTTCAAGGTCAGCCTGAACGGCATAGCAAAACACTGTCTCAAAAGACACGCCCCCTAAAAAATACTGCATCCCATGTTCTGTTTCTTGGTAGCATTCAGTACACTGACCAGTCTCTTTAAAACTTTGTCTTTTCTCTCTTTTTAAACAGGAAAAAGTGGGAGCTGGGGATTTAGCTCAGCAGCACAGCGCCTGCCTGGCAAGCGCGAGGTCATGAGTTCGATTCCCAGTACCGGAAAAAAACAAACAAACAAACAAATAAATAAATAAACAGGAAAAATAACACAAAATGTACACCAAAGGCATGGGATATCAGGCTCTTTGCATTTTGAAGAGTTTATGCTTTCCTAGATTTCTCCTTGTCTCTCTTGCTGCTTCTGTGTAGATTGTTTTGTTGGCTCGCTCTTTTCTCATGCTTTAAAAAAATGTAATATGTTTTTGTATCGCTAGCTGTGTGTTGTGATTTGTGTTTTGTAGTACTAGGTACTAAACCCAGGGCCACTCTGCTACTGAGCTGCATCCCCCGGCTTTTTGCTTCTTACTTTGAAAAAGGGTCTGTCCCAGTTGCCCTGGCAGGCCTCAAACTTGAGATCCTCCTATTGCAGCCCTCCCAGCACTGTAGCTGGGATTACAGGCTTGCACCGCCACACCCAACTCTGACAGTCCTTCTGCTTCTGCTGAGTTTTTCCTATCATTCTGTCAGTTTGTATGCTTGTAACTTCTTTGAGAGGATTGCAGCCAGTAGTGTTTCATTCATCATTTTTATAAGTTGAAAAACATACAATCTCTCTCACACTCTTTTGCAGTACTGGAGGTTAAAGGCAAGGCCTTCTCACTGAGCTAAATCCCATCTCTCTCTTTTTTTTTTTTTTTTTTTGAGACAGGGTCTCGCTATGTAGTTCAGGCTGGCCTTGAGCTCACTTTGCAGCCCAGGCTGGTCTCGAACTCCAAAAGATCCTTCTGTCTCAGCCTCCCAAGTGCTGGGATTACAGGCATGCGCCACCACACCCAGCAATCCTTTTTTTCTTTTCTCTTTTTTTTATTTTTTATTTATTTATTTATTTATTTTTTGAGACAAGGGTCTTACCTAAGTTGCCATGCCAGGTTTAAACTTTGGACACTCCTGCCTCAGCCCCTGCAGAGTATTGTTATTATAGGTCTATACCACTATGCCCAGCTTAATCTCATTTACATGTAATATTTTTTAAGAGCAAAATATATTTATTGAGGGAAAGAAAGTTTCTGTCGAAGAGAGGGACAGAAGGGGGGCACAAGTGGGTTACCCAAGTTTCTGTCTTTTCTAGGGACTTTTATAAAGCAAAACCATGAGGTGAGGTGGGTCCAAGGTAGGGGAGAATGGACAAAACTATGGTCAGCCAATAACAATTGTTCGGGTAAAATTGATTAAATTGGGATCAGATAGGGAAGCAAGTCACGTAGCAAGTGGGTATGAATGAGGAACGGGCTTTTCCTGTAGGGCTTGGGTCAGTGACTCTTCAAGGTGCTGCTACCTGTTTAGAATATCAATCCCTCCCTGATATTTACACCTGGGGAGGTATGTGGGTGCATTTGTTTAGTCCTTTTGTCTTGAGGTCTCTCCCACAGATATCTTGTCTTTTATGCTGGTTCTTTCAAGGGCCTGGCCTTGTCTGACTGCCTATAATATTTCTGTCTAACTCAGCTGCCTATAACTTTCCCGCCTCTGAAGAAGTAATCCGAACTGCCAAGAGAGCGATGACCCCTCTGGCTTCTTTAGGCTGAAAGTAGTTGTAGTTGCTGATCAGCAGTCAGAGATCAAAGTGTCTATCTAAAGGCCTTCAGTAGACACCAGGTGTTTTCATCAAGGGTAGGCATATAGCTTTAAATCTCTGTGTTCCATTTTGATTCTAGGGGATAGATAGGCCATGCACACATGCAGAAAAATATTAACTTGCTCTTTTTCAACATGTAAGGATCAAACATCTTCCAATGCTTAGTGGTGCAATTGAGAGTAGTAAGTGACTTTGACTGTGAGTTTCCCATGTCTCCATCCAAGGATCTCGGTGTGGAACTCCAGAATGATAGAGGAAAATAAAAATTCCCAACCTGAATGATATCTTGGACGAATTTGTGTTCTCTAAAAATCAAAGAATGAATTTTAGGAACAATGGAGGTTAAGAGCAGAATATATTTATTGAGGGAAAGAAAGCTTCTGTCCAAGAGAAGGACAGAAGGGGTGCCCGAATGGGTTACCCCTTATATGTAATTTTGAACCTACCAAAATCCAATTATTAGTCATTACATGGATTGAAATCACCAGCAAAAGAATTAAAATGTAGTATAAGAGATGAAGAATTCTTTCAGTGAGCTGATGAGTAGTAGATTAGACACAGAAGATAGAATCAATGAATTGGAACAGAAGTCAGTAGAAATTATCCAAGCTGAAATTAAAACAAAAATTAGAAAAAAATAAGTGCATCAGAGACCCGTGGAACACCAGGTGTCTCACGTACCTTTTGGAAACCCTTGTGGTGTAGAGGTGGAGCAAAGGAATGCTTAGAAGTCATGGCTGAGGATTTTGCGGTTAGTTAGACGTTTTAGCTTCCCCTCCTTTTTTACACAAGACATAAAATAACGAGCGGCATCTTCAACATGAGTAAAAGACAGGTTTAAGGTGTCGCAAGCATTTAGTGCCTGAGACGCACTTGGCCTCCTCTTGAGCCATAAAGGCTCCTGAGTAAACACATCAGGAGGGGAGCTTGGATGAAGAGCCGCAGCCCTCACAGGAAGCCAGCTTGAGTGAGCAAGGAGGAAAGAGCAGTCGGGTACTTCTGAGGACTTAGGGTGTGAGCTGCAGCATGCAGGAGATGTAGGTGCCGCACATTCAAGAGACACATGATGTGCAGAGGGCAGGAAGACTAGAAAAATCCCACTGTAGCTGAGCAAGGCAACACACAGTGTGATCCTGGGGCCTGGGAGGCTGAGGTAGGAGACCCTGAGCTCAGGGCCACCCTGGACTACACAGTAAGACCTTGTCCCTAAACTTAGCACGTGCACACCTGTAATCCCAGCACTTGGAGCACTGAGGCAGGAGGATCACTGTGAGTTCAAGATCAGTTTGAAGTACATGGCTAGACTGTGTCTCAAAGAAACCAGTAAATGAATGAATGAATGAATGGATGTCATTGGTGATTATCATAGAGGTTGCATAAATCCAAGTGTTACAGCTTTTGTAAGGAAATGTTCAGAGAGCAGAGCAGGGAGGTCCAGAAAGAAATGGAAGATGCAGAGGTTGAGTTAGGTAGTAACGAGCTGCTCTAATGCATGGGAAGACAGTTGAAGAAAGAATGAAGCAGAGGTGATGTTGGAAGAGAAGATCCCAAAATCAGTGAAAGATACCAACTCACAAACTGAGGAAGCCTAGTGAATCTCAGATATTACTTTAAAAATCTGCACCTTACCTGGGCGTGGTGGTGCACACCTATAATCCGAGCACTTGGGAGGCTGAAGCAGGAGTTCGAGGCCAGCCTCGGCCACATAAGTGAGTTCAGGGCCAGCCTAAACTGCGTAGTGAGACCTTAAAAAAAAAAAAAAAGAAAAGAGTGGGCTGGGGATACAGCTCAGCAGCACAAGCACCTGCCCAGCAAGTGCAAGGTACTGAGTTCGATTCCTAGTACTAACTTACTTAATAAATAAATAATCAGTCAATCTGCACATTAACCCATCACAAAGTAAAACAACACCAAACCAAAGTAAAAGACATGATCTAGGTCTGGGGATGTAGCTCAGGGTAAAGCACTAGCCTGCCATGTACAATGCCCTGAATTTGATCCCCGGGAAGGTGAGTTGTAATGTTCAAGTTGCTGTTGCAGTAACAAGGAAGTTAGAATGTAGATGTGCTCTCTGCAAACAACCAGCAACCGAGAGGTGTGCACCCAGCAGAAGTGTCATTGGAACAAAGATAAAAGTAAGTGTAGTTGGCTGCAAGAAGATGCGCAGAGAAACTGCTGCGAAAGTACTTCAGGAACAAGGAGTGGTTTTCTAATGAGTGCTCTGAGGGGCAGTTAAAGATCCCCGTCATTGCTGTGTGTGTTGGATTGCATGTGATCTGTTGGCAGACCAGAGCATCACTATTGAGCCACCTTGAGGACAGGTGCCCACCCTGGCGCACACTGTTCTGTAATGGAGTGCGGATCTTCATGCTGCTGCTTCTAGGGCTGCACCTGTGTCCAGTTTAGAAAAATCGTTGTCACTACCGCATGAATACCGTTCTCTTGCCTGTGCTTGCTCTTGTATTTTTTGGTGGGGTTCCAGCCATCTTTCAGGTTACATCTTTTTTAAAATGAGCTGTACTGCACACATCATGAAATTCGCCCTTCACAGGTCTCTGTTTCAGTGATTTTTAGAATCATCCCCAGGGTTGTGCAGCCAGTTCTGCACTCTTGTACACGGTCCCCATGAGTACTTCCTGAGTTCCAGCTAATGTGCTTTGTCCTTTGTCCTTTCGATGTGCTTTGTTGCTTTATGCTTTGTTCCTTTGCTTACTTAATAATTATATACTGCAGTTGTTAACATCCTCTTTGATCTTTTCTACAGTCTACCTATTTTTACGGTGTTTCATGCTTGGCCATTTTCATAACACCATTTTGTATTTAAATATTTTGTAGTGATTTTATGTTCTGTAACACATTGTTCTAATGTCTGAGATCTTAGGAACCAAAATGTGTTGTTCTGGTCATACATTCACCTTAAGTTGTTTGTTTATTGTTTGGGTTTTTTGTGGTTCTTGCAGGATTATGTTGACAAAGAGAAGGCTATTGCCAAGGCCTTGGAAGACCTCCGAGCCAACTTCTACTGTGAGCTCTGTGATAAGCAGTATCAGAAGCACCAGGAGTTTGACAACCACATCAACTCCTATGACCACGCACACAAGCAGGTGAGCAGCATTGCTCGCTGGTGGCGGAAGATGCCTCATCTTATGTTACCACTGTTGGATTGTGAGTGGGCCCAGAGAGCTTGGTGACTGTAGCTTCTTGTGTCTGCCAAACTTTATGTGACTTTCTCATTGGCAGAGTTCCTGGCTAGACACCCCTTCCTCTCCTGACCATACCATACTTTCTCACTATTTGAAGTAGAATGGAGAATTGTGAGTTTGTGAATCTTAGATAATCTCTGTGGCTTTGAGCAATTTCTGAATCTTTATTTTTTTCAGCAGTTCAGCTGAGGCTCTCTGGGGCTTTGTGTCTACCTCTCCCACCCGTTCTGAACAAGTTAGACTCCAAGCGGTGGCCCTAGATGAGTTCTCTGGGCTGCCTTCCCTGTCAGTCGGGTGAATTGCCACAACGCGCGTACCTTGGAAGGCAGACAAAGCTTGAGAAGAGAAGCCAAACTAGAGGTCATCTTCAGCAAGAAAAACACAAGTGCTGCGTGTTAGAGAGCTACAAAATGAGTTACACTTTCTCCATAGTCTTTTTGGTTTTGTTGAGTTAAGAAAGAAACTTGTACCTAACTAGTTACTGGCAGTATCTGCCCTGAGGGACTTTAGAAAGGGAAAGGAATCTTCTGGGTCCATGGAACAGTTTTGCCTCTTCAACAGTTTGAAGCCAGGAACAGTGGTGCACACCCCAAATCCCGGCTGCTTGGGAGGCTGAGCCAAGAGGGTCTTGTGTTTGAGACCAGCCTGAGCAATTTAGCAAGACTTTGTCTCAAAACATGAAGTATTGTGGTAAAGTTCCCTAGGTTCAATCCCCAGTACCACCAAAAAAAAATTATTCTTTTGAGCCCTTTGATCTTGGATGTTATTAGCAAGGCTTGCCCGGTTATGTGAGGTACAGTAGTTATTTTTGTTATATTTTATGATCATTACTGAAATAACACACCTAAAGCTGAACCTGTTGAATCAGGTTTTTTTTGAGGTGGGGAGTCTTTCTGAGACAGAGCCTCACTATGCAGTTCAGTCTGGTCTTGAACTCACTCTGTATCCCAGGCTGGCCTCGAACTTGAAATGATCCTCCTGCCTCAGCATCCAAGTGCTGGGATTACAGGTGTGTGCCACCACATCTGGCTCTGAATCAAATTTTTGTTGTTGTTTATTGTTTCTTTGTTTTCTTGCTTTTTCTTAATCTTCCAACCAACCCTAAGAGTTCAGTGGACAGGTGAAAGGCAAGCTTTGACCACATCTTCCTGTTGGCCTCCCAGGCAGTGGAGACCAGCTATGGTGTTACAACCCTTCCCCATTAACTGCCTGACCAAATGATACTCTCCTGGCCAGGCACAGTGGTGCACAACTGTGATCCCAGCACTCAGGAGCCAGAGGCAGGAGGATCATTGCAAGTTGAAGCTGAGCCTGGGCAGCTTAGCAGGACCCTGTCTCGAATTTTTAAAAAGAAATAGGAATGTAGTTCAATTCAGAGCCCCCAGGTTCTGTTGCCCATATAGTGACAAAAGTCTTCTAATACAGTCATGTTCAAGACAACTTCTCAGCTTACCTGCCTTTGACATTGTTTTTTTTGTTTGTTTTTGTTTGTGTTTTAAAACAGGGTCTAACCATGTAGTTTGGGCTGGCCTTGAGGTCACTATATAGCCTAGGCTGTCCTTGAACTCACATGATCCTCCTCCCTCAGCCTCCCAAGTGCTGGGATGATAACCCTGTGCCACCATGCCTGGCCTTTGACGTTGTTTTAATGGTATTGTCCGCTCCACTGAGTTTGAAGAAGAGAAAATTAGAGAGCTTATATAGGGGCAAGATACATTGGCAGTACTCTCAAAAAATCATCTTCCGGAAAGAAAATTTGACAATGAATACAACTCATTTTCCAGTTCCAAGCTATTCTTTTTTTTTTTTTTTAATGGATTAACAACAAAGACAACATCTGGGGCTGGGGATATAGCCCAAGGGCACAAGTGTCTGCCTGGCAAGCAAGCACAAGGTCCTGAGTTTGATTCCTGGTACCAAAACAAAGACAACATCAAGTACTATACTTACCTGCCTTTTGGGCTGTTGAGAATTTGTTCAGTAAAGTTTTACCTAAAAAAATAAAGCTTAACTCAAACTTGAATAATATATAGAAAAACAATTGCTGTTTAAGAGGGAAAGTTCTTTTTTTTTTTTTTTGAGACAGGGTCTTTGCCATGTAGTTCAGGCTGGCCTTGAGCTCACTATATAGCCCAGGCTGGTCTTGAACTCATACAGATCCTCCTGCCTCAACCTCCCGAGTGTTGGCAAAGGAGGAACATTCTATCAAAGCAAAACAGATTCACAAATGAAACCTGAACAGGTATGCAAGGCTGATACAACCCCCATGCTGTGAATTGTAGGTGGTGAATGCTGCTGTCCAGCAGTATCCCTTGGTTTGTGGCAGCAGGGCAGCCATGAACCTCTGTGGCCATGATGCCCACAATGGGGAGGGAGTCTCAGTCCCAGCCAGCAGTGTCTGGAGACATTCTGGGGGTCATCACTGGAGAAGGTGCTGCTTAAAGCTGTCACGCACAGGGAAGCTCCTTAAGACAGTCACTGCTCAAGAGGCAGCAGCTGTCCTGGGAGAGCAATGCACGCCCTCAGAAGCCAGGAGGCCAGTGCCATTTGGCCTTGAGCAGTGTGGGGGGCCACCATGACAGCCCTCGCTATGTGGGAAGATTGAGAGAGTACCCTCGCAGATCACCAAGGTTTTCAGCTCCTGCTCTTAGGTTATCATCACAGTTAAGCGTTTCTCAAACTCCTAAGCCCTGCCTGTCTGCTTCTAGAGGAAATACATGTGTGTGACCCCTGGTCTGGGGGAACCTGTTGTCTCTTTCCCCTTGATTAGAAGCAGCTCTTAGGTGTTAGAGAACAGGCGGCCGGGCAAGGGGCACACACCTTAACCCGGGCGCTAGGGAGGCTGAGGCAGATGGAGTCCAGGTTCAAAGCCAGCCGAGGCAGTGTAGTAAGACCATGTCTCAGACAATGAAGAGAGCTACGGATGCAGCTCAGGGTGAGGCTGTGCACTGGGGGCAGGCAGAACGCAGATAGAGCAGAAACGGTTTTGCTTTTGGTTTAGTGTTACTCATTTGGTTGAAATGTTGAGCTCTTTACCTTTTTTCATTCTGTTGTCTTACTGCGCTTCATAGAATCTCAAAACATCAAGTATTATACTATATTAACCCAAAAAAGCGTAATACTGCTGGGCACGCCTGTAATCCTAGCACTCAGGACGCAGAGGTGGGAGGACTGCCACGAGTGAGACCCTGTCTCAAAATAAAACTTGTCTGCTAATGGATATGGCAGTGAAACCATTTTCTTTAGCTTATCAGAGGGCTTAAACTCAGTCTCCAACCAATACTACTTTTTCCACAAGTAAATTTGAAGCAGTGCTCAGTAGATTAACAGTCAGGCTGGAGGTGAAGCTCAGCGGTAGTGCACTTTGCTAAAATGAACAGAGTCCTGGGATTGACCCCCAGCACTGCATTAGAAAAAATAGTTGCTTTATTATGTACCACTTAATTTTTTTGTGTGCTCCTGAGAATCATTGCAGTGCTAGCTTATGCTAGCACAAATTGTCTCACAGGGGCTGAGGGTTTAGCTCAGTGGCACAGCGCCTGGCAAGCATGAGGTTGTGAGTTTGATTCCCGGTACCGGGGCGGGAGGGGCAGGGAATTGTCTCAGAGATACACTTGGTCTGGTCTTCATGGTGTTAGCTGTTCTCTTTATTTATTCCTTTTGTTTTTGTTTTGTTTCTATTTTGCTTGTCTGTTTTTGTTTTTCAGTACTGGAGATTGAACTCTGGGCTAACTCTGCAGAGTTTTGTTTTTTGGGCTCTTTTGGTACCAGGAATCAAACTCAGGACCTCATGCTTGCCAGGCAGGTACTGCGCCACTGAGCTTATATCCCTGCCCCCACTCCCTTTTCTTCTTGAGCCAGAGTTAATTCAAAAACATGCTTCAACGTCGCCAGTACCTCAGTCCCCGGCTGTATTACCTCTTTAGTTTTAACCCTGCAGGCCCTACTGATAGTGATGGGACACCCATAACAGTGGAATATAACGAAGTGTGTTCTTTTCAAACTCTTCTTCCTGGGCTGGTGATAAAACTCAGGGGCACAGTGCCTGCCTGGAAAGCCCAAGGTTCTGAGTTCGATTCCTGTTACAAAACAAAACAAAACAAATTCTTCCTTAGATTTTTCTGGGTATCCTATATAAATTTCCTAACATTCAAAACAGTTCAGTCTTTGGCCTAAATCAGCTCACTGGCTTCAAACTTTTAAAGAGATCAGAGCCGAATGTAGCATTGTACTCCTAAGAGTCCCAGCTCTTCAAGAGGTTGAGGCAGGAGGATCACTTGAGACCAGGAGTTTGAAGCCAGCCCCAGCAACATAGTAAAACCCAGTCAATTTAAAAAACAACAGAAGATTAGATTTTACAATATAAGCTTGTCTTGAAAAACTAAAGTATTTCATGGGACTGAGCCCCCATTTCAGTTTGACCTTCGATTGAAGCTGAGGGCTCGCTCTCTTGGCTTCCTCTCTGTTGCCTGTGGGGTCCGCCACACCCTTCCTCACCAGTCCGTGACGAATTAAGTCACCTGCCAGACACTCTTGACCCCTTCGCCTCCTGTCCTCCACAGGTCCCCACAAGTGCTGGCTGTTCCATTACTCTTAGTGTTGGAACCAGCTTCCTTCTGATGCATTTGTCAAATCTGGCACTATAAAAGCAGCTTCAGAAGTTCCCTTAAACTGAGCTGCACATGGTGATGCAAACCTGTAGTCACACCTACTTGAGGGTGAGTCTGGAGGATCCCTTGAGTCCAGGAGTTTAAGACCAGTCTAGGTACCACAGTGAATCCACATCTCAAGAACAACAAAAATCCCCTTAGCTTCTAAGAAAAGCCCGTGTCAGCCGGGCGAGGTGGTGTACGCTGGTAACCCCAGCACTGGGAGGCTGAGCAGGAAGGTCAGCGAGAGTT